TCTTTCTTTCTTTCTTTCTTTCTTTCTTTCTTTCTTTCTTTCTTTCTTTCTTTCCTTCTTTCTAAGCTATCTCCCCCTGGAGTAAACTGTCAAATGTCCATTTTTATCAACTAATTTTATCACTTTTGATTTTATTCCAAAATTGGGGATAAATCTGATATTGATTAGTGATGTCTTCCATGGGCTTTTTATAAAGGATAACCTGATGGTGCATATTTTATTTTACATAAGTATGTATAAGCGGTGTCCTGCGAGTATGTATGTTCACATGCATGCAGGCACATGTGTGGGATGCATGTGAAGGCCTGAGGCTTATACCAGGAGTCTCCCTCAATCGCGCTCCACCATGTTCACTGGGGCAGGGTCACCTATCCGGCTAGTCTGTCTAGCCAGTTTACTATGGGGATCCCCATCTCCACCTTCTGAATGGTGGGCTTACAGACAGGCTGCCACACCCTCCAACATTCACATGGTTCTGGGAATCAGAGCTCTCGTCTGCACGCTTGCCCAGCAAGTGCTTTGTGGGAACCATCTCTCCAGCCCTTGAACACAAAGCAAGAGAAAGAAAAGCAGAGGAATGGTGCCATTTGGGCTGTGCAGTTCAAAATGTGGTCTTCCACTTGAAAATGATGAATTTATGTGTTTGTAATATGTATTTAAGAAAAGACAGGAGTGAGGATTTAAGAGACCTCCCTGGGCCATGAGGAAGAGCTAAAGGCTATTCCTCTTGGGTACCTAGAGTCACTCCATTTCACTGAGAGGCAGCATCGCATAGACCTCCTGAGAACCGTTGCTCCTTTAATAGCTCCTCAGTATTTTCTTCCTCTTTATGCAGTGTGTGTGTGTGTGTGTGTGTGTGTGTGTGTATGTGTGTGAGTCTCTTTAGTAATTAGTTTTATGTGCTCAAAAAGAAAAGGATCTGTATACATGCTCTAAGCACAACCAAGAAGCAAACAGGGGAGGCTCCTCTGAGTCATGGGAATCCAAAACTGGCTTTGGTAGTCACTGTGGGCAGGAAAGGATGTTGACTGGGGCCCAGGGCCTTTAGACCCCAGAGAAACCACCCGGGGTTTGAGAAAATGTTCTGGGGTTATACAGTGAAAAATTCCATTGTTCCCCAGGAGGGCCCCTACCAGAATACGTTCCAGCCACAGTAGCATATTATAAAAGCTAGCGAGACATCAGCAAGCAGCCTTTATCTGGAATCAGGACATCCTATTCTTTTTATTTTTATTAACATGAAAGCCCACCCCTGCCCAGGACAGCCAAGAAGCTGGCCTTGCTTCTTTCAGCCTGTTTCTCTAAGGCCCTTACACAGTGAGACAGTGGAGAGGTGAAAACATTATTATGTTACTTTGTAAGTATTTAAGAAGGTAGCACCAGACATTCCACAAGACCCACCAGCGGCACTGCAAGGCTAACCTGTGAACCATGCCCACTGAGGGCTGCTTTGAATTGCCTCCTAAATTGGTTCGTTGAACAGTTGACATTTTGAGAGCAGCTAAAGCTTGAAAGTCTGTGTTCTCAGTCTACATATTTGAGGAGTTTGCCTCTTGTGGTTCTACTGTCCCACAAGAGCCCAGAGAGTCCCCCCCTCGTGCTCTGTCCACCACCACAGCACTTTCCAGAGCATGTCCAGGACACACTGGGCTGCAGGATCTCAGCAAATCAACCTTGTCAGAAGTCTGGAGAACTGTCCATCCCTCCCCCTCCTTCCTGGACTCACCATCTCATTAGCTAGTGAATACATTAGGGAAACTTGACTGTGGGGAAAAAAACGAACAATGTTTTCCTGTATGTCGTATGTGAAGCATTTCTAAAAACCCTTGTAAGTATGTCTTTTGTATTAAAGAAAAAAATAAGATTCTAAGAGTGAGAAAGAAATCTGTCATTCCATTATTATTATTATTATTATTATTATTATTAATTTCAATAGTATTTTCTACTTTAAGAACACTAAGAACCTATTAAGTATCACCTAGAAAATGAATAAGAAAGACATGTAGATGTTTTTTATCATCACTTTATCCCCATATTTTTGCTTCCTTCCTGCTTTTTTAAGTGTTCATTTTCACAGTGTTGTGATATTTCTGTGCAAATCACCTTGTTCTAAGCTACCTACAGCCTCATAATCTAAAGTGTGACACGGGGGCTGGACTACATACTCTACCCCAAACAGCACGGACAGGTGCTTTGGCTTTATGGTTTCCTCTCCGGTGGAAATATCTTGGGAGCTGAGTCCCCATGCGGTATGTGGGGAAGTAGGGCCTGATGAGAGTATTCATGAAAGATGCTACTTTCATGAGTAAATTAATGACCCAATGAAGTGGGCTTTGGGAAGGTGGTCTTTTTCTGACCCTCTAACCCACAGCTCCATGAAGATGAGTCATGTTCCCTTGCTAAAATGCAGCATCCAGGATGTCATTTTGGGAACAGACATTAGATCCTTGCTAGCCTTGAAATACACTTATAACAAATTCATGGACTTTGGACTTTCCAGTCTCCAGAAGAGAAAGTACTGGAGAGAGCAAATGTGCAGTGTTTACACATTATTCTTTCATGGTAGTCTGTTGTAGTAGTTCAAAAAAGGACTGTGACTCCAGCCAGCAGCAGCAACATCAACATCACAGGGCCCCTTTAGAGATACTGGATCTTTTTAAAGCCTTTAAAGTTCTCGTAGCTTTAACAGTAACTTCAGCAGCCCTGTTGGTCTAGCTCAGGGAGCCTGGGTTTATAAACAAAGCTTATCTTTTACAATGTGTTTCTAATACACTATAAACAGGCTAGCCTAGCCACAGCGATGCCAGTGAAGCTGATAAACATCTAGAAATTATTTATTCTTTTCTTTGTTTCTTTAGTTAGAGTTACTAGATCTCGAATATGAACTCATATTTTGTTGGTTTTTAAACCTGTGGTAAAATATGCATAACACAAAATGTGCTATGTGAACCACTTTAAAGGGAACCGTTTTAGTGGTTGTTGATTATATCCTTGTTGCTGTACCACTGTCACCATCCGTCTCCACATGCTGGTTTTTAAAATGGATAGTGTTAAAACACAGTACAGTAAAAACACCAACAGGTATTTTGCAACATTTGGAGTGTGAACCAAAGCAAATTCTTTTAATTTCTCCATGAAAAGAGAATCACAAATGACAACTCCAGAGTACCATTTTAGTCTGATTTGGAAAAGCAGATTTGGAGAAGGCCATCAGCCTTACAGCAGCAGTGAGAAACCCTGCAGAGTGCTGGCTGGGAAACCACAACACTAAGGAGGAAGGGGCTTCCACGAAGAACGGCTTCTGCAAAGAGGATGCTGAGGTGGACCACAGCGCATGGTTTCTGCTGTGCTACATGCTCCGACCGACAAGCCATCACTTGTCGCTTTACTCCACTTAACCCCGATTATCATCCAACTAGGTGTTACTACTATTTCTACTTGACACGTAAGGACACTGAGGTTTAGAGAAAGGAATTTACTTGCTTACTTCACTGTGAATTTACTTGCTTACTTCACTGTTATTGTGATTGAAATAATCGTGCCTCTTGAGCCCACATTCCATACAGTAGGGGCATTTTGAACACAAGCCTGCTGCTTGGTATAAGGCCAATTTGCCTGTCAAACTGTGGGATGTTCATGCTAACAGGCAAACCAACAGCCAGTGTCCAGTTAGGAGCAGGAAGTTAAGGAGTGGTGGGCAGAGCAAAATTCAAAGCCTTTCCCCCACCTGACCCATAGAGACAAAAGCACTCTTCCAAGGACAAAATTAGACATCACTATTGACTGTCCACTCTACTGAAGCCTTTGTTTTTAGAAGCACAGATCAGTCATCTAAAAGTGCATTCCTAGTACTGATATGCAATAGTTCACTGACTTCCATGGCAAGAGAATGCCTTAGGATGTCTGTTAAAGATAGATTCCCAAACTTCATTCTGAACATTCACACTGAGAGTAAACAGGATGTCTGGAGGGTCCTGGGCTGGTGGTCTGCCTCCTATACTGATGGCCCTGTGTCCAGGAAGGATGTAGTTTTTTCTGTTCAGATCCTGTTCCTTCTACCAAGTCAGCAAATTTCTATAACATCACCATTTAAATCAAGTGCTGGACTGGCTGTGAGTTAGCATTTGCATTATGATTATTTTCCTTCTCCACAGCAGAAATGTATACACTTTTCCCGTGTTGCTCAATGGGACATCTCTACAACCTCTACAACCTCAGAGTAAATGTTCAATGAATGTCTATTAAATAAATGAGTACATAAAATGTACACAAAGACAAATGAAACCCAGTCCCTGTCCTCGATATGCTTAGAACCAAGTAGCAGTTGGCCAGTTAAGTGTGTGGACTCAATAAAGTGCTCTTGCTGTGTTATTCCAGATGTACTCCAGGCATGAGGTCACCACCTCCCCAGCAAGACTGCACCCAAACCATGTTAAGCAGAAATGAAAGAAGGCTAGATCATCTACACAAAATACAGAGTCCGTGGACAAACAGTTGAATAAAGTCTGTCTTTTCTAAGGTCATTTTAGAAGTGAATACAATCAGCTCTGCTGTCTGTGGCTTCTGTGTTCATGGAGAATGGCAGAACAAAATATGGCAGATGACAGAGCAAAAATGTGGAAATGGAAGAACAAAAATATTTTCTAAAATTTGTTCATACTAAACCTGTGCAGTTTCTTCTTGTCACTGCTCCTAATCAATACAGCATGGCAACTGTGTGCATGGACTTTATATTATTTTGGTTTTTATGGGAAATCTGATGATGATCTAAAATATGTAGGAATTATATCTCAGAACCTCAGATAGGTTATATGCAAATGGTACCCTTTGGGTATCATAAAGAGCTTGACTAGCTACAGATTTTGATATTCTAGGGTGGGTGTCCTGGAACCTATCCCCCATGGACTCTGAAGGCCAACTGTGCTTTTTACCAATACACTTCTTAACTTATTTAGTAGGCTGTGGCGAATCATCCACACAATAAAAATGGTTCTGTTTTTGTTTATTGCTTTAGATTTTATAACACATTGTCTTATAAACAATATTCATCTAGCTGGGGTTTGGCCATTTCGGAGATGTCATCCAAGAGTATTCACTAAAGCAGCAATGTCTAACAGACAGCTGACTACTACCTAAAATTTTATTCCAATGTGGTAGGAATCTTGCTGAAATCAGTAAGTTCGGCAAATGGACAGCTTTTGCATGTGAAGTTGTCTTTTTGCAGAATAAATCAGCAGTATGGCCATACTCGCTTTAATGGCAGTACCTATTCTTGCCACACACACATCTTTTACCTAATGAATGCCAAAGACCTGGCTCCCTTTCACCAAACAGCATAACAAAATAGAAGCACATCAGACTTGAAGACTACTCTGAGCCCTGATCACAGCAAACACCAGAAATACAAAGCTGAAGTGTGTCTCCTGAGCAGTCCTTCTCCCCAGTGCTGCAATACTGAACATGCAAAAAGGTCAGGTCAAGAGGACAATCACTTACTTTTGGAGCTGGTAAACAAATAGCAAAACCAAGATGTCATGAAGCTTCAACTACGAGTGAAGTCTTGCCAAGAGAACCAATGCCACTAAACATTAAAAGGCAAGAGACCACCGTCAGTGAGACAGCAATAGCTTCCGTCCTGACAAAGCGGCCATTGTACATAGCACAACTGGGTTGGACTTGTGTGACAAACAGATGGCAGTGGAACACCCACGCCTTTTCTACACAGTTCTCTAAAAGTTTTAGAAGCAGGGCATGCATCTGACTTTCCAGGCTCATAGGTCAGCATCTCACCAAGTAGAACATACTTCAAAATAGGGGTCCCAGGACATCTGCACATGCCACTGCCCTGATGATCTCACTGGCCTACTCATGTGAGGTGGGCCCCTAATAATTATATTTATTATCTTTTCAGCTTAAATGTAAAATGGTGTAGTTATAAATATATGTATATATTTGTCACATCTTAAAATTAAAAGGTAAAACAAAATAATGACTGTGTTACAAATATTTGTGATTTCACTTGCCTTAACATTTTCTGGCAATGGTTTGTTCTGGGTCAATCCCACAGAAAGCAAAGCTATCACAGCCAAGATAGAGGAGAAACCAAGGATGATCAGAATATTTTTGGCGCAAAATCTCTTCACCGTAGAATCTAAAACCAAAAACAAAACATAAATAAGCAATCAGTAAGCAATGATTTTTCTTGACTTTTTGTATGGTTTTATGATGGCCATCAAGAAACACCAGAAACATTAATAAGAAGCCTACCTATATCTACAAGATACTTGTAAATTATTGGAAATAATTCAAGAATAAAAAGTTTTGTCTGTACCATGATAGACCAAGTCGGTAGTATGGAAAGAAGAATGGGCATAACCAGGCCATGTGGAATGAGGGAGAGAATCACATGGGTGTCTTATTTAATAGGTCAGATGTGTCTATCAAAAGATGAGTAACAACTAACAAAAGACAGAACAGACCTCTCCATTTAAAAAATATGCACAGAACATTTAATATGCTAAACCCACCAACCATATGCATACCTCAAACATCAAATCCCACCACTACATAACATTTCCTGGCTTGACATACTTTTTGAATCCCAACACTTTTATATGCTGAACTGAATCACCTTAGGACTGAGGCATTCTGACCACTTTGGCCTGTCATTCCATTAGCTAATCTATTCTAGTTTTAGTCTTACCCCAACAAAGGACATTTAGAAGCTCCACTATAAGAATTACATGAAGCTACTTTAACTGGACTTAAATGGGTCATACAGAAGACATGAATAGGAAATGGAAGGTTGCATCAGTCCATCCACTTTGATGACTCTACCTGTTCTTCAGTCAGCTTCTCAAACTATCTCCAGACTTCCTCTTAGGCTTCGGGGACACATAATACAGAATCATCTCCGGGCTGGAAGATGGCTCAGCAGTTAAAAGCACTAGCTGCTCTTCCAGAGGTCCTGAGTTTAGTTCCCAGCAAACACATAGTGGCTCACAACCATCTATAATGTGATCTGATGCCCTCTTCTGGTGTGCAAGTGTACACGAAGATAGAGCACTCATATACATTAAATAAATAAATCTTTTAAAAAGTGAAATAAGAATTATTTTAAAATATAGAATCATCTGAAAATGAGATGGATTCTCATTTATTTTTTATACTTCTTTAAGGTCAGAGTGAGATCAAGGGAGGTGAGAGAGAAACTCCAGTGTCCCCCTCCCCTTTCCCTTTCTGTCACCAGCAGCTGGCTGGGCATTGACGAGGGAAGTCTTCCTTATGTTCTTGAGCAGAAACTTGGACTTTTTCTAAAAGACTGTCCCTACATGGGTACCTAGTCCGCACCAAACCCGAGTCTTCAAGTAGTCTCTATCCATCAGGTACAAAACTCAGGACAAACTGCCAGCAAACCATTACCTCTTACTTCCAAAGAAGGAACAGCAAATGAAGCCCACAGCACTTCAGGCCCCTCTTCCTGAATGATCACACACCTTGTTTAGAGATCTGCCTCCCTCAAGCTGAGGAACGGACCTGTTCCATTTGTGTGATCTCACGCCCCTATTAGCAAAGGTTTCTCCAATGAGTGGATACCTAATCATGGTGCCTGATAATCTGCCGTCTGCTTGAGTAAGACTAGTGAAGACATGGAAAACTTCCTCTACTGACTGTCCTTCCTGGATGAGATGGCAGGCACTTATGGCAGAGCTGAAAGATGGAGGGAACCTGAGTTGTCAGGGTCACTTTGACCATCCCTGAGCACCATCTTCCCATAAGACTACACTTTGGCCCAGTGGCACGATACTAATTACGTGAAGCTAAAACATCCAGGTACGGCTGCTGTGGTAGAAGAAATGTCCCCTTTGATGCCAGAACTCTATAGAGTCCGGGGGTCATGAGGAACTTCTCTGTCAGTAGACCCCTTCTTCATTTCCAAAGCTGTGAAACTGAAACAGTGCTACCAAGCATGGACTCTGGATGATGGGTTATAGTATGACAGGTAGCATTTTGGAGCTATGTGCCATTTTCAAAAGAATTGTGAATGCTATTTTTCCATCTCAGAGGCTACTGCAAGAGAACTCACCATCTAGTTGTTTCCTTTTCACAAATGACAATTTGGCTGACTCATTTTCCTATCTCATCTACTTAGGCATTATTCTTAGCATCTAAACTACTACAAATGAAAGAGATCAACACGATCTCTACTCTTTAAAATTAGCCAGCCATTCAGAGAGTGAGAGAACCAGGTAAACCAAAATTACATTAATAAAACCAAGATTACATGAATAAATGCTTTCAGGTCATGATAAGTGCTAGAAAGTAACTAAAACCAAGGAATGTGGTAGATTGCCTGCTGTAGATCTGGGCTTGTGGTAGATCGTGTTAGGTGGTAGGTCAAGGAAACTTCTCTGATGTTTCTGCTGAGAACTGGGTGAAGGGGAAACACCAGCTTTGAGAAAGAGCGGGAAAACTGCAGAGAGCAAGCACCACAGGGACTGCCGAAGCTGAAGCCCACGGTGGTAGCTAGCTTAATGTGACTTTTTTTTTCCTTTTCCTATGCAAATATTTGCTAATCCTCATCATCTCTGAACACTTGGAAAGCATTCCACATTTGCCCAGTTTTTGTAATGTTATTCACATTTCTAGAATCTATTCAAGTCCCTCATCATACTTTTAGTTCTTATTAAAGATAAACAAAAGAACTTAAGTATATAATTTTCCACATGTGACTTTCCTAATCTTTACTACCAAAATTATGGCTGTTTGTTTTTCATGTGATTGCCCAGGCAGGACTAACAGACTGTCTTTCACAGACTTCTCAAAAGCCCTGATCACAAGCAGGAAACCAGACACTTTGCAGGAAGTGGTGCTAGATACGGAGGTCCACCCTGGCAGACACGGGCTGGCAGGAAGCGCAGGCTGCAGAGGCACCCCTGTGCAGCATGTGGAAGTCTCGGGGTTCGATTTCTAAGAGCGAAAAGGGGAAAGGGGTTTGGGGAACCACCTCAGTCTCTCACGCCTTTGGCCTGCACATCTTTCAGATCCAGTTTTACTATAACAGTCAGGCTTGTTATGAAAATTCAAGCCAGCTCTCTCCTGCTTAGAAAGCCTCACCTGACTCCTGGGTCACAGAGAGGCAGTTTCCAACACTCAACATAAAGAGCTGTTTATTTTTATGTTTTTAATTTTTTTTTGAGACAGGGTCTCATGTAGCCCATTCTGGCTATGAATTTGCTATGTAGTTTTGGGGATGACTGTGAACTTTTGGTCATTCTGTAGTCACCGTCTGAGAGGTTTACAAGCATGTGACATTCACAGGTTTTCTATGGTTCTGGGAACCAGATCCAGGGCTTTACATATGCTAGACAATCATGCTACCAGTTGAGCTACATCCCCAGCCCATAATATGGTACTTTTTTAAAGTCCAAGAAATGATTTTATCAAAAATATCCAAGCACAACATGTTACTTTTTCTCTTTGGATTGGTTGGTTAGACTGGAGAATTCAAAGATGTCTCTTCTTCACATTTTCCCCTTGCTTTCACAGGTAAACAGGTTTTTGTTTAACATTAGAGAGCCAAGTACCAAGTAATAACTTCCACCTTCACTTTACAGAAAGAGCTGAAAGAAGCCCAGCTTTTAGTAAAATACAGAGTTATTTCAAGCCAGTAAGCTACAGAAAAAAGCCCAACCAAACAAAAATCCCTCCATTCTTACAGTGAAAGGCACCGAGTTGTCCAGTGTGAATCTTATTATGGTGAAAAGTTATTAGTTTAGCAAAATGCCACTGTAAAGAGAAATCCTAGGATTTTTACATGATACCAAAAATAGAAACTTTCAAAACATTTTTCCATTGATAAAAAGCTTTTTTATGTTGACAGCTGTGGTGAGTCTCCAGCAAAGGCAGCCAAAAGTTTCCTCTGTGGATCCCAAGAGGGGACGGCATCTAATTTCTTGGGACCACCTCTGGAGTAACCCTGGCTTGTCAATGGGAGAAAATAGCACGTGTGGGTAAGCACTGACGAGAGACAGAGACTCATTGTGGTGGGCCGTGCTTCCAGTCAGGGATGGCATGCTCAGGGATGCTCAGGGCCATGCTGCGGGCTCATCCCCTCCATCCTGAGTTGCAGTCTCCCAACTGTCTCTGCCATGCTCCATCAGAGAACACACACTTACTCCTCAATAATGTCTGGGGGCTTTGTACCAGGCTCCTTAGATACAGGCACCCCCTTGCTCCTGACACCCCTGTCTGGCATCTGATCCACAAGCCCTTTCCAGGGACTCCTACAATTCCTGGTTCCCTTCCCTGTCAGAGTCCATCTTTTGGGTGATTGAAGAGATCTTCTATAACCCAGGCCTTCTTGATAGAGAATCTATGGTAACTTCCTGCTGCCTGCTGTGTCTAAGAGCAGAATGGCGATAGTCTTGTCATTATCAGTAGCCTGTGCTCCTTGAGGGCTGGGACTATTTTTCTAGCTTGTTCACAGCTGTGTTCCCATGGTAAGTGAATGAGTGAATTTTGGATTCTTAAATTTTTTTTTTCCAATGTGACATTTCCTTTATTTGGGAATTGCATTTTTCCCATTCTTCACCAAGTCTTTTTCCTTGTTGCTCCAACATCAGGCTCAGATTCAATTAGAGGTTAAAATCCTTTCCACATCTCCTCTCCTTTTTAATTTTTTTTTTTAATTTTTAAATTGCATTTGTTTAGTGTGTGTGTCTGTGTCTCTCTGTGTGGTCTGTGTGTATCTGTGTGTGTGTGTGTGGCATGTGCATGTGTGTGTCTCTCTGTGTTTATGGTGCACAGGTGCCATAGCACATGCGTGGAGGTCAAAGGACAACTTACAGAAGTCAGTTCTCTCCTTGCATGTAGGTCCTAGAGGATGAATGTATATCTTCAGGCATGTTGCAAATGCCTTTCCCTGCTGACCTGACTCGCTGGCCCCAGTAGTCCTCTGTTCTCATGTGCCACTTCCAGTTAAACCACTTTTGTTTCAGAGTTCTACAGTTGTTGAAGAGGAGGGTGTGATCTCTTTGTTCAGTCTTTCAATTAAGTATTCAATAATTATTAAATACATTGCACTATGTGGCTAGACTTGACCATGGCCCTGAGCTACAGCAGTGAACAAGACACTTAATGTTCCCACAT